GTGAACTGAAATGCACAATTAGCAATAGCAACTATGAGGAAATTGTAATTTCTTTTAAGATACTAATCAGTCATTATTTTATGACAGAAACTTGACCTAGACATTTTTGGCACTCTAGCCACATTTCCTGGTAAGTTACTGGTAAGTTTTACTCCCTAATATAGAAGTCTACACTCAATTTAGTAAACATGCAGGACAGACTCCCTGGAACACCAAAACATCATCGGCACTCTTTTGAAGAGTGGATTAATAAAATACCACAGAGCCACAAGCTTAGGCCAAACATCTGCAATAAATAGCAGGTTACGTTTTGGTTCAAGCAAAGAAAAACACCATTAGTCTCCAATATTAAATCTCGTAACAAACTGTTACCTTCAAGAAGTTTATAAAATTTCTCTCATAACTAAAGTTTATTAGATCTCAAGGTAAGCAGAAGAACATATCTTTGACCCAACTTTATCTATCTGCTCTAATAATATTGGTGGATCTGCAAACATTCCTTAATTTTTCTTTCACTTTTACTAGTTCCTTTTCCTTTCATTGGATTTAATCATACTTCCCAATTGACTCTTCACTAGAATGTGCTAGCAACCATTGTTGAAGGGCAGCAACATACATCATCGCTCTGTATTCACCCCTGCATCAAATATGACCTCCAGACATATTTTTGGCTGCGGTTTTTCTTTTTCCCTTATGTTGCTTGAGCTCTCCTGTCCATTTTTGCTCCTGTATTTTACTTTGCTACATGCTAACTCCAACAGTTCTTTGGCTACTTCACAGAGGCAGGAATTCCTCTGCAACTGAGTCAACTGTTACCATGGTTTCTAATGACTTCTACAGCTAACTTGGCTTGTAGATAAAAAGATTGCTGCTTAAACACAGTTTTTTTTTAAAAATGTCATTTTTCTTTCTCTGAACTAGATTTTTTTTCCCTCAGATTTTTAAAAGTAAGTCCAGCAGTGCACCATTTCATCATTGTTCTAGTCCAGTGATGGCAAATCTTTTAGAGACCAATTGTCCAAACTGCAACCCAAACCCACTTATTTATCACAAAGTGCCATCACGGCAATTTAACCTGAATAATGAGGTTTTACTACCTAAAATAATGATAAACAACGCTGAGTTCAGCTAATTGTTCTAAGAAAAACGTGATAAATGCACTTTTATGCCACTTCATTTTTTTCTGCTTTTGAAATTTTGACATTTAGCAACAATAAAAAAGAAAAACTTTTGTAATATCATTTCTCTCCTTCCCTCCCCCTCTTTTTCCCTCCCTTTCTCTTTCCCTTCCTCTCTCTTTTCTCTTTTCCTCCCTCTCTCTTTCCCTCCCTCCCTCCCCCTCTCTCTTTTTCTTCCCACTCTCCCTCTCTTTATCTCTCTCTGTATGTCTCATCTATTTGTCTGTCTATCTGTCTATCTGTCTATCTATCTATCTATCTATCTATCTATCTATCATCTATCTATCTATCTTTTTTTTTTTTTTGCTTTAATTTATATGCTGCCCTTCTCCGGAGACTCAGGGTGGCTTACAATGCGTTAAGCAATAGCCTTCATATTGTATATTTATACAAAGTCAGTTTATTGCCCCCATAATCTGGGTCCTCATTTCACCTACCTTTGAAAGGATGGAAGGCTGAGTCAGCCTTGAGCCTGGTGAGATTTGAATTTGCAGTAATTGCAAGCAGCAGTTGTTAATAACAGTGCTTTAGTCCACTGTACTACAGGCTCTTGTATCATCTATCTATCTATCTATCTATCTATCTATCTATCTATCTATCTATCATCTCCATCCATCCATCCACCCACCCACCCCTCCCTCCCTCCCTCCATCTACCTATCTACCTATCTACCTATCTACCTATCTACCTATCTACCTATCTACCTATCTACCTATCTACCTATCTACCTATCTACCTATCTATCATCTCCATCCATCCATCCATCCATCCATCCATCCATCCATCCATCCAATCTATCTACAGTATCTATCTATCTATCTATCTATCTATCTATCTATCTATCTCCATGCTCTCCTGTCCAGCTTCACGTGTCATGTGAATCCAACCACTTGGGCTGTGGAGGGGAAGTGGAGGCTGGCAGGCAAAGCCTTGCATTAGAGATCCACACAAAACAAGGCAACTCCAACCTGGATCCTGTCAGGGAGATCCCCCCTTCCTTCTCCCTCTCTCCCTCCGCAGTGGGGGCCCGGGCAGCTTGAGCGCAGCTCTTTCCTCGGAGGCAACCAGCATGCAAACAAACATGGCGCTCTGGCTGGGAGGCGGTGGTGTGGAGCCCCACCTCTGGCCAGCAACAGAGGAACAAGCAGGGCATGCACCTTTGCCGCTGCTGCAGCGCTAGCGCTGGCCCGGAGGGATCTATAAAAATCGCCTTGATCATGTCACCTTTGATATACCCAATGGCATGTAATATTAATTGTCCTTGGTTATCATGTTAATAATAATTTCAGGATACCTGCTTTCCCCAGATGCTACAATATTGCTACACAAATTATTTCATAATTATAAAGGCTGAAACATATCTTTTGGCAGATACTGAATGATTACTTGTTCCTATCCAACTTCAGCTTCTCTCATTTTCATTGTTGATTTTACCTAACATAAAATTTGGATCAAGATATAATTAGTGCTACAAGAAGTTGAGTTTGCATTCTTTTGGAAAATGAAGGCTTACATAGGGCTTATATTTTGCTTCCAGTAAAAAAAATATAATCAATATTTCCTTTAAAAAACAACAACAACAGCAACAGCAACATGTTGAGGAAACTGCTTCATTGTTTCCCTTTTAATTAGTCTGGAATACAATGTGGAGCTCATTGACATGTAGTAGGGGCCTTTGTCTGATAGTTTCTCACAAAATGCTTCAATTTAGAATAGAATAGAATCAAATAACAGAGCTGGAAGGGACTTTGGAAATCTTTTAGTCCAATCCCCTGCTCAGGCAGGAAACCCTACACCACTTCAGACAAATGGTTATCTAATCTCTTCTTAAAAACTTCCAGTGTTGGAGCATTCACAGCTTCTGGAGGCAAGTTGTTCCACTGATAAATTGTTCTAACTGTCAGGAAATTTCTCCTTAGTTCTCAGTTGCTTCTCTCCTTGATTAGTTTCCATCCATTGCATCTTGTCCTGCCCTCAGGTGCTTTGGAGAATAGCTTGACTCCCTCTTCTTTCAGTATAACCTTTATTTAAATTTCCAGTATAGCATCATGGCTTTAATGCCATAAATATCTATGGCTTGAGCCTATTTTTATCATTTAGTGCAGGGCTGTCAAACTCACATCCGCGGGCCGGATGCATCACGCACTGGCCACGCCCATGCCCAGTTTAGCACAGTGGGGGAAGTCATGATACGTCATGTGCTGCTGCCATGATGATGCGAGTTTGACAGCTCTGATCTAGTGGATAGTCTAAACTCTAAACCATGAAAAGGACACAGGAAGATGCTCCTTTGGTACCATATGGATTCCACAAACTAGAAGTGTGGAATTTCTGTCATTTTGATAATATACCAGATTTAATGCAACACATTGATATGAGTAGACCAGCACTTATTTTGGATGGGTTTCAGATTTTTGGGGTAAAATAGGTACCTTAAGTCATTACAAAGCCGAATACCAATTTACACAATGAACCTCTCCAAAATTTCAAAAACTTATTTAATCCAGCCACCCTGGGCTTCACTTCTTTCATATTTATCCTAAAGTATGGTATTGTTTTAAACAAAGGTGGCAATATTTTATTTTAGATGAACTCCTCCTTCCCCTAATATGCATACAGTAGTATTGTATGTTCACATGAAAATCCTCACTGAGTTTAATTTTTGTTTAATTTGACAATATCCACATGTGTCTCCCCTTTACATTTACACTTAAACCCAAAGAAACAATGTACCAAATCAGTATCTGATATTAATAACAGACTGGATAAAACTTAACCCACACAACTGAAACTGAAGTTTATCAATATGGAGGGCATTAGCTGAAAAACAGGACAGAATGTCACAATTCGTGCTAGTCGTTTCCGGCTCTAGGAGCAGTGCTCATCTCTGTTTCTAAACCAAAGAGCCAGCGCTGTCCGAAGATGTGTCTATGGTCATGTGGCTGGCATGACTCAATGCCAAAGGCACACGAAGAGCTGTCAGGTTCCCACCAAAGTGGCCCTATTTTTCTACTTGCATTTTTTACATGCTTTCGAACTGCTAGGTTGGCAGAAGCTGGGACAAGTAATGGGAGCTCACCCTGTTCCGCGGCACTAGGGATTCGAACCACTGAACTGCCAACCTTCTGATCGACAAGCTCAGCATCTTAGCCACTGAGCCACCGTATCCCCTTCTCCATGGTCTTAGGCTATGTATAAAAAGCCTTCTCTCTTCTACTCCCAAATATTCTAGATACAGAAGTTGGCTGACATGGAAATTTAATCTTCAACGTGCAAAGCAGTTTATTCCACTGTTAATTCAGGAAGCAGAGGGATCCATTTTTCCCAAAGTACGCTGTCTGAGGAAACTGACTCATTCTGCCTTAATGGTAGACTTCAGCTTCAATCATTCTTGGAAACAGCATGTCTTAAGGTAGAATTGAAAAGATGGTAGCCCAAATTGCACAATACAAGCCTTTCCCTAATTGGAACTGCCTCACCAAACATTCTTTTAAAAGTCTGGAGAGTGTAATTTCTTAGAGTAATGGTAGCATTCATTCTGCTTTTAAGTATGGCCATCATTAAGTGTGAGTGGGTGTGTTCCGAATGCCTTTTTAAAATACATTTTCAACATTATCAAAGTGACCTCTTCTAGAGGGAGATCCGTTCCCTTAAGCAACCTTTCCTGACCTCTGCAGCTAAAGAACAAAATAACGGAGTAACAAAAACACTGACGCCTGCCAAAGAAGAAGGAGTTCCTGTGAACGGGCTGAAACAATAAATCTCCTCCATGCTGAATTCCTGGAGGGAGGCTGTCGTATTTCCTCCCGTTCTTTATCAAGGTCCCCCAAATAAGCAGGATGGGCAGTGGCTCTCCACAGCTGGCCTTACTCCCTCTTTCTCTCTGCTACAAACCTTTCCCACCGGCTAATTACAACCAGGTTGGGTGAGAGAGCTTTGGTCCTGCTGCTGCTGCTGCTACCTTTGGAAAGAGAGGTCTGGAGCACCTTGAACGATGGCTGGGAAGCTGTGGAGCACTGTCCTCCTTTCCCTGGCTTTGTCTGGCTTCTTCTGTGAGAAGGGTAAGGCCTCAGTTTTATTTGCCACCCTTTCAGCTTTCTCAGAGCAGCGGAGCTAGTGAAGGGGCAGCCTGTTATGTTGCCATTTTGTCACCAGATTGCAGTCATATTTGTTTGGGTCTCAGAAACTGTACATCTACTATGAAAAAACCCCCCACATAATTCTTTCTAAAACTAAAAAGTAAAAAGATCTGTCTCTCGTATCTTATCAGTAAACTTTTCTAGAGGACTAGCTCCTTGTAAACTAGCAGCTGAGGCTAATGAATTATTATGATTTATTTAGCAGATGGCAACTACAGAGGTCTTGCAATCACTGATATACAAATTTAGTTTAAATTAATGTTATAATTTGATATCTAAGGAAGCTAACCATCTGACTGCTGCTGGTGTGGCTGCGGTAACATCATCCCAGGTGCCGTGAATTAATTAAAATTTGTATTGTCATATAGGCATCCAAAATGATTTTTAGAAGAATTCCCCACCTGTGATCAAACATCACAAACTCCTTTTAAACTCCCTTTTACAACCTTGCAACCCAGGGTAATTCAGAGTAGAGTGGGGTGGCTGGGTGGAACTGAGCATCACAATCCTGCTAAAAATCAACTACTTGCCTTAGAAATACTGCATTTAAAGAAGAAGGTTGCTTTTCCAGCACAGTAATTGGAAAGAAACTCCTTTAACCACAAGAATTCACTTTGCAGCAAACAAGCATTGGATTGCATTAGTACAAGTCCCATTGTATTTAATGAACTCAGTGCCAGAAAAAGAAATATGCTATTGTTCTGTGGCCATTTTCTATTTGTATTTCTAATTTTATGCTAGTAAGAAGAATAAGGTGGGGAATAAAGCAATGTACTGGCAAGAGTAGAACACTCTGATCTGTGACAGTTTGGGGAACATGATGCAACTGGGACTGGAGATATTACAGATTCATTTCTTAATATTTATTATGGATTCTAGCATTGGTGCACTCTGTGGCAATCTTTAGAGGGCTGCCCATTTATCAAGAAAGTAATTCAAAACAATAATCAGAAAGCAACTAGTACTATTCCTTTTTCAAAAGCTCTGAAAAACCGGAGGCCAGAAATTTCATTTAGCAAGAAAGAAATTGGTTTTATTGTTATTTATTCTAGTGGTGCCTTCTAAATTGGTGCATAGCTTCCTTTTATCCTTTCACAGATGTTGGAATAGACCAATTGACTGAATGGCTAGCAACTATTGGGACCCTTGTGGTTAAATAATTATGCAATCCTAGGTACTGAATTAAAACCACTGTCTTTTGTTGCAAAAGAGGAGACTGGGATTAACAGAGTTCTCACTGAAAATTCTGTTTGCATCTCAAAATTCTCTTGTATTTGTCAATGCTAAGATCTAAAACCCCTTGATATATCTATGTCTGATATATATACATGTGCACAAACACAACTTAAAATGGAGAAACATTACTATTGATAACCAGTAGTATAACCAACGTGCTTTTAAACAGCAAAATAAAAAGGTTTTGGAACAAGGGACAATAAAAAAATTGTATTCACATGAGTAAAAATGTGTGGGTGCATGTATATATTGCTCAGGACGAACTGAGCAGATGAATTAATACAATTTTATTCAATATAATAAACCTATTTTTTCTGAACCCTGGATTCCTACCCATATTCCTTTAATTGGTTATTAACTAAACTTTGTAGCTTGACAATACAGGATATAGAATCAAGGATTTAAGTTACAGGAAGACAGATTCCTGTTGAGTGTTATGAACAGGAAGAGCAATTTAGCAGTACATAATTAGAAGATTAAAAACTCCTTCACTAGATATGATAATGGCTGGATAATCATGCTTTAATTTGGATTCCTACCTGGAGCAATGGGTTGGTTTTAATGGTCTAAGTGACAATACATGCTCAAAAAGGGGGAAATGCAATTGACATAGGATGAATTGATAGAGGGGATTGAGTTAGATGTTCTGTCTCCTATTCTTTCTCCTGGAGTTTAAAAAGTCTTATAGACATCTAGTATGTGAGTATATAGTAAGGCAATGAGTCACAGGGCAGCTACAGAAGGAAAAGATGGAAGTGCTTTGAAAGAGTTGAGATTGTGCCATGTTTGCACCCATACACACACTAAACAACCCTCATAAAAAGAAATTGAAAACAATGTGCAATCTGGTAGATACACACAATTTAATCCTAGAATTGGAATTGACCATTTTAGGCCATTAAACTGATTTTGCCAAAAAATAGTTTGTAGAGTATATATATAAGACCGGGTCTTATTTTCTTTTGGCCCCAAAATAATCAGTATGACTTATTTTCAGGAGGTGTCTTATTTTTTTCCATGTACGGGAGGCACACTTCTGCTTGCCCACAGTGGGGCAACTGGCCATGTGGCCACCGCTACAAGGCAGTGGGGTGGAGCTGCTCCATATGCCCTGCACCAGCTTACTTCAGGGTCCCTGCAACCAGGCCACCCACGCCCCGACACTTGCCTCGCCTTGCAGCAGCAGCTCCAGCAGCCACATCCAGCAGTACCCTATGTGGCTGCCAGTCCACTTCTGCTTGCTCGTGGCTGCAATGGAGCAGGAGGCTGAGCAACACACCATTGCCGCGGCCATGAGGTGGTGGAGCTGCCCCGTGTGCCTGCACTGGCTTACCTCAGGGTCACCACAGCCAGGCCATCCATTCCCTGACACCTGCCTCACCACATTGTTATAGCTTCAACACACCTCTCAGCCTCCTGCTCCATTGTGGCCATGAGCAAGCAGAAGAAATGGACTGGCAAGCATGTGGTCTCCTGATACACATGGCTGTTGGTGCTGCTGTTGTGAGGCAGGTGTTGGGGCGTGGATGGCCTGGCTGTAGGGGCCCTGTGGTAAGATGGTGTGGGGCGGATGGGGCAGCTCCACCACCACCCCGCCTCACCTCATGGCCATGGCACGAGCAACCAGATGAAATGGGCAGGTGCCGGCTGCACAGGCTATTAAGTAGGGCTTATTTTGGGGGTAGGGCTTACATTAGGTGCATGTAAAAAACATGCTAGGGCTTATTTTCAGAATAGATCTTGTTTTTGGGGAGACATGGTATATACTATATATTCATCTATTTTCTGGGTGCACTGGCAATATATGAATCAGTGGTGGGTTGCTACCGGTTTGCCCCAAATTGGGTGAACCGGTAGCGGTGGTGGTGGGAGGCTCCGCTCACCTGCCCGGATGTCTCTGCGCATGCCCAGAAGTGTGCGTACGTGAGAATGCGCCCATGCCCACAAGCAAACCGGTAGCGACGGGATTTGAAATCAGTAGTGGGATTTGAACCACTACTGATATGAATGGACATAAGTCATGACATAATTTACAGCCATTATTTTTATAAATACATTGGCAAATACATTGCCAATGTATTTAGCCATATAGATATATAGCTAGCACCAAATTTGTAAATCAATATCCATATGCAAAATGTCATAGAGATATCATAGAGATGTGGCCTACACTGTAGTCATTTAAGACTGCTATGCAACACTTTGGTTTTAAGGTAAATGGATGCTTTGGAGCATAAAAGAACACAAAAATAGAACCTTTTAGCAATTCCTTAAGCTAGTCCTTTCTCAACATTAAGTGGCAGTAATGGAAAGCAAAGGCACAGTTTTTCAAGCACCACGAGGATATCCTCCTCCCAACTTTTTAAGTCCTTTTTTTAAAAAAACAACAACATAGAACTGCCCAGAATTTTACTCCACTGAATGCAAGAACTTCTAGGGGGAGATTTGTGTGTGTGTGTGTGTGTGTGTGTTAGTTAAATATATTAGTGTGCTGTTAGATTATAAATGGATATTACCTCACAAGACTCCCTTATTTTGTGGCTGCCAAAACATCTCAATACTACACTCCTGAAAACAGTTACAGCAGTAATTTTTTTTAATGGTTAGTTTTGGAAAAGACATAAAATAAGTTTTAACATATTTGTTCTCCATTTCAGGGGTGTAAATGGAGGACATGTCTATGAGATATTTGTCCCACTCCCTTTTTATGTGCATCAGTGGACATTAAAAAGGGGGCGGGCTTTGATCACATGATCATAATCCTTTTAGCCCTTCCCCCCGAACGTCTGTCTCAAACTTCCTAGCATCTCAATAAAATCCCTGTACCTCAGAGGCTTAATGTTTTTCCCTCAGAGACATTTTCTTTCTTTTCTTTTTTTAATTTTAACTCTTTTAATCCAGTTAAAAAAAAATTATCACTCCCATGCAAACACATAGCATCTGCAATTCCTCAATCAGCACAGATTCTTTTCTTTTCCTTTAATTCCCAGCTTCTGAATTCTAATAAAATTATAACTTCTTAAATGTTATTCATAATGAGAGAATCAGTCCACAGAACAGTTTCCGCTGAGGTTCTCTTTTGTGCTACTTAGCTGAAGTGTTAATACTTGAACAATGTAGAAGACCAAGTATCAGGGGTGCTATTCATAAGGTTCTGACAGGTTCTGGAGAACCGGTAGCGGAAATTTTGAGTAGTTTGGAGAACCGGCAAATACCACCTCTGGCTGGCCCCAGAGTGGAGTGAGAATGGAAATTTTGCAATATCCTTCCCCCAGGAGTGGGGAGGGAATGGGGATTTTGCAGTATCCTTCCCCTGCCACGCCCACCAAGCCACGCCCACAGAACCAGTAGTAAAAAAAATTGAATTCCACCACTGCCAAGTATAGTTATTTTAATATTTTCTACAATGAACCCAGATCCCAGCTGTAGTTTTAGAAATTATTTAGAAATTATTCTTGCATTTGACCAAGAATATTTGGTCTTGATATTAACTCTACTACTGCCATTTATTTATTTATTTATTTTGGTTAAAAAAAGAATACTACTTCAGTGTCAGTTGTAGGACAGATAAGAAAGCTAAACTAGTTAAGGAAATTGAAGTAGATTGGCATATTTCAGTTGAAAAGGGAAATAGGATTAACCCCCAGAACACATGCCTTTAGCTGATCTATTCTGCCTCCCTAGTA